ACCCGTTCTAAAATTTCCGCCGGCTCCGTATCCACTGGGATGTAGATCGAAATGCATGTAAGCTATCTGTCCCCGAGGAGGACATCGAGGGCTACGAAGTCAACACCACTGACTATAGTCTTAACGGGAGTCTCGGGTGGCACCAGTATCGCAGCTCGTGGTCGCGATTCCTGAGCTCCGCTGCCTTTACCTAAGGACCTGATTACGGTAAAGCCGGCCCAGTGGTCTCTCAGAGCCCATGGCGGCTCCTGTAGAAGCATTAATGTATCCCGGAGGTCTACTTTTGATCGCAGATCCTCGAGAGCTGCGAATGATTTGCAAGAGTTGAAAGATATAAACTTCATTTTTGGGGCAATTGTACACCATTGGTTATCAAAATCCACGTGAACTTCATTATCAGGAATGCAGCTCGAATTAGGTTCAAGGCAGCCCTCAGGGCTGCCGTCTCGTCGGGCCATTACTGGAGGCCGCCACCCACATCTGGGGTAGCGGCTTCAAGGATGGGCATCGTGTCCCGCGGGTCGGTCTCCATAGCAATCGGGATGCTCTCGGCTGCTGAAGCCGGATTCGACACTATATTTCTGGCAGACTGGGAGGCCAGAGACCTGCACTTCATGATCTCCTGGGCACTGTGCCCCGACAGGCCACACACCGTGCAGCTCCTCCCTTCCCAGTCTCTAGGGCGGTCACATCGCTGAACGGTGTGACCCTTGCCCCCGCATTTGATACAGCAGATTTCTCCTTGACACGGCGAGGATGCCGGGTGATGCTTTCCACACTGGTTACACAGCCTTTTGAACTGATGTTCAACCACTTTCGCGGAGCCGAGGCCCACGAAGATGAGGCCTTTCGAAAGGATACCCGTAATAGTTTTTTCGGGTCCCCTCAGGTATATAGATCCGCCGCGAGCGATTTTCAGAACCCTAACATCAGAGGGATCAATACCATTACGCAGTCGTAGGCTATCCAGAATGTCTTGATCGTTGGAAGCCGTACCTGGCTTGCAAATCAATCGACAGTCTCTCATACGACCCTTCAGCTCCCGAACGGCGATCTCTTCGGGACTTTGTTGTACAAATGTTTCCATCTCAGTCTTTTCCATGAATGCTAAGCCGATGCCGAACTTCATGGTCCAATTATTGCGTATCTTGGCCGTACCTAGTCTGGCTTTTACCTTCTCCAAAATCTCCTTACTGTCATCGTCCTGCAGATCAGCCCAGCGCCCGTTTTGGTCCACCTTGCTTCTGAGTGTCACCGCCAAGCAGTAATCCTTGTTTGGCCTGACACGGTGGGAGGCTGGAACCCGATCTGTACGCACATTTCGGGGTGCCGGTCTCGATGTGGCTTTAGTGGTCACGGCTGTCCTTGACGAGGCTGGGCGGGTGGAGGTCGGCGGGTCGACGGATGAGGAGCCCGCGGAGGGCCAGCAGACACTCTCGGCCGCCGATGAAGGTGGCTCCGCGCGGCGGCGACGCTTCAAGGGGCCGTTGCCGGTGGGACAGTCTAATACGTTACAGTCAGCAGTTGCGCGAAGACGTTCTAATTCTACCGCAATGGTACATTTTTCTTTTTGTAGGGAACCCACCTCCCTTAGGACCTCCGCCATGGCCCTAGTATCGTCAGCTACAGTTTCCTGGGTTCTGCCCCATATCGATAGGATTGCGCGTTGACATTCTTCAATGCGTGCAAGAGCCCACTTGGGAACAGGCTGTTTCGATGAATTCAGTGCTTGAACGTATGAAATGATACAAGATAGCCAACCGATCAGATCTTGATTGGACGGAGGGAATGCTACATCTCTTGGATCACTAGGGGGTTCCTCCGCGGCAAATACGGACCTATTCGCAGCTGGAGAGGGAGCGTTGAGCAGCTGATCAATCGGCAAATCGACCGACGCCTCCGGCCTGGGGGAGCCGGGGAGAGACGACGGGGATGATGATGTCCGAGCGACCATAGCGGCAAAAACAAAACCTCGGAGGAGCATCGCAACTATCATAGTTGCGAATAATAATCTATAATGGATTGATGGATCTTCCCGAAGTCTTCGACCCGGTAGAGGCGCTCATAGAGGATGAGATCCCGCGAGGGTTTATACGGGAGCTAAGCCCTGGGGAGGCCACCGAAGACGGGAGAGACTGCGTCCGACGAGAGGCCATTCCGAAAGGAGAGACCTTCGCAGATGGCGTGAGGATAATCGAGGACTATCGACGCAACAACGTCAAGAAAAAGGCCAACATACCCAATAGCACTCATTGGCCAAACATCAGGAGTTTACGAAGGAAACTGGGAGCCGTCTCAGACAAGTGGCCTTCTGAAGAATTCAAAGACCGGAAGGTTGATCTGCGAGGCGCGTATAGAGCGGTTGGAGTGCATCCAGTCGAGCGGAAGCATCTAAGCTTCGTACAAACAAAACTGGAAGCACCCGATTCTCCGAGGATATTTCTATTACTGGATTCTTCTACTGGAATTTCACCCGTGATATGAAGAACACTAGTGAAAAATATATTTCATGACTACTACATATCGCGAATATCGCGTTTTTCACGGAGTATGACGGCACTTCACGAAGAACGGGCGAAACTCCACTGCTTTCAGCATTTACTATAATCAGTAGTCCTAACCTGTTTTCAAACCTCGTTCTCGAACTGCATTCATCGGAAAGAGTTGATATATATCGCAACTTGATATTTTCAAGTCCGGTTCCCAGTTTCACAACTGTTAATGATTTACCTATTCGAATAACACTTCACTGGATATAATAGCAGGGAATGTCGTAAACTGCAGCTTGATGATACTTATCCGATGTGGAAAA